TGATCTACTGATTCTTTTATGGGGCTTTGGAACAGATGATAACCAAATCATTGGAAGGTCTTTCAATTGAATCAGCTACAGATTTTCAGAAAGTTCTAAGAGTTAAGACATACACATCAGAAGCATCTGCTATCAAACGGCTTACAGAAGAGCTCCCTGTTTTTCAAAGTCGTATGGGGGCTATGCTCTTCCTCATATCTGCCCTACTTTCTCGTGGCCTGGTATGGTTCTGTTCACTGCCTACCCACTTAATATGCTTGCTATGTTTTTTCGGATATCATTCTCTACCATCATTAACTTTTTCTGAATTATAAGCACTGAGATACTACGCTAGCCTACAAGTATACATATCTGAAACATAATGGAAAACATTAGGTGTAGATATTGGGGACCGTATAAGTTATTTGACGACACAGTTGGCGTGCTTGCATAAGACTTTCTCAGTAAATTATATCTAATCAGTCTGCTGCTGAACTCATCTGATATTGGTGCTGTAGGAATCCATTCAAGCAGACAGAGATGACCCTAGCCTACCGTTGGTCACAGCTCCGTTTGGGCATGCGTCTCAGGTAAATCATGTTTCCTTCAATCCAATTCATTAAAAATGTTCTTTTTCGCTCTTCGTCAGACAAGCTTTAAAGTTCCATAAATTGAAGAAATGAAGCAAGAATACACTATTAAGCTTGAGATACAAAAAAACCAAATAACGGAAGCTGGTGTGTTGATGTGGCACATGCGCTGATCACTTCAAACTTAATGATCAGTATGTCAAGATCATAGCAGACGGCCACATCGACAGCACACTAGTCAACAATCATCATCAATAATGTGGAGACAGGATCAGTTCTTGTTTACTCCCAAAAAATATCCTTTCAGTTCTATCTTTACTTGATCATCTTTACCATTTCACAAGTGACTTTAATAAACCCATTGAAACGTCCACATGATATAGCTTTCTCAAATATTCAATCAAACATCAATCCAACTCTTTTCTTCTCTCAGGAAATAGTGAACCTACTTCTTTGCGGGCAGGCAGTTCCTAACGTATTCGATGGCAGGATGGATCTCGGCGGTGGCATGTTCCTAAAAGGAATACCCACAACCGTAGAGGTCGGATTCCTTACTCTCCTAGAGTCCCTCAACTTCTGCAAGGTTGGCAACCACCTGAAATGCCCCAAATGGCCGATATGGGTAGTAGGTAGTGAATCCCACTACACTGTCCTATTCGCCCTAAATCCCTCCGTCCAAGAAGAAAACGAACTTGAAGAACGAGAATCTAAGATCAGAAAAGCCTTTGACGCCCAGGATCAAAGTGGCGGTGGAGGTTTCATTAGTGTTGAAGGATTTCATCAAGTCCTTCGAGAGACGAACATAAATTTTCCACCAGCAAAACTCGAGAGCTTAACCGGCGCAGGTTTTATTGTGTGGAGCGAGTTCTGGCAGGCTTTACTCGATCTCGATAGAAGCTTAGGAGGGTTTAAGGATTCATCGGGGTTGAATGGAAAGAAATTGTTCGACGTTTATCATTTCAACGGGATAGCCAAGTCGGTATTAAATGGAAACGGTGCGTTGCAGAGACCGAGGCTCTGTAAGCTGAGTGTTTCTGTGCCGCCAAAGTGGAGCCAGGATGAGTATATGGCTGATGTTAGTAGCAGTAGTAATCAAGGGGCGGAGGTGAACCAGCCTGAGCCATCGAAGCATGCTCCGCTGGTGGACTGTATTAGGACTCGCTGGCCAAGAGCTGTTTGCAATTGGGTTGGAGATGCTCCGAGCATTGTATAATTATGATGATGATGGTTTATGCTGCTTGAAGATGTGTTTTTTTTTAATATTTAATTCAATTTTTACTTTTTACCAACATTCTGGAACTATAATTGTAACAGTGCGGGTAATTAGTTATTGTATGATTATTGAGGCTAGAGTATTTCGTGAGCCAGAACATAAAATACTTCCTCTCCACTGGAAGAAAGTTGACTGAATTTCTCCACAGACGCAGATGGTAGTATTGCATAAATAAGAGCATTACACCAAAGCTGCTGCAGTTGTAAAAGTACAAGAGATGAATGTATGAAAACTGAGGTAGCATCGAATGCTACACTGCCCATTTACTGACCAGTTATTAGGGTTTAATCCAACGAAGTTTCACACAGTTGAGATAAAGCGTAACAGGTATTCGGCCACCCATATTCCATCGATGCTCGATTCAGTTATCAAAGTTAACTCGGTTCGCAGTAATCTTTGTGCAGTTAGAGGATGGTACAGCACTGGTTGGTTTTCTTCGCCTGCTTGTAGAACATCTGTCAAGATAACCAAAAAAAAAAAACTATTAGATCACTGACTTCTGGATGAAGCAAGTAATATAACGAGTTCATTTGCTGGATAGAATTAAGAAGTTTGGGTAAACACTTCGCTGGTGAATTCAGTAACCTCGTAGAAAATATAACACGAAACTAGAAATCAAGAGGGCGGGGGGGGGGGGGGGGGGGGGGGGGATTCAAAGCAGCGACTCAGGATTTCTACGTAGAAAATATAACACAGAGACTAGAATCAAGCGGGGGCGGGGGGGGGGGGGGGGGGATTCCAAGCAGGACAGGAATTTCTACGATGAAGATGGTTAATCAGCACAACATCCTATGAAGTGCAGAATGGAAGCAAGGATGAAAACTACAGCAGTATACTACAACATGATACCAAGAACATACTATATCCATGTTTCGTATGTGAAATCAAGAAAATAACTTCAGCATTTTTTCATGAATAGGTAGATGTTCCGCAATCAATTCATTGTACTTTATGGAAAATTACACAGCTAGTGAATAAATGGCAGGTGAGGGAAAACTAATCCAAGAACTTGTAATATCTGAAAACAAAATAGCGGAAATAAAAGTACATTGAAAGTATTAATTGGCGCCCTGTATAAATAGCTTTATTAATAACTGAATCGTTGTAGCATTTACCTGGGATGCAGCACTGAGATCTGAACTCTTTTCCACAAGGCTATCCAACTTTTCCCCTCGTTCCAATACACTATCAATAGTCTTATGCTGCGATGAATTTGGAAAATATGTTAACAATACAAATATATTCTCATGAAAATCTTCTATTTGTGAATTCTTTGAGAGAAGTACCATTCAACTCTTAACAAAAAGATAAAAATATAGAATATAACCACAACAGGACTTTATAGGTGGACTGTATATCTAATCCACACTATATGATGATGGCAACAAAAAAATGAACTATTCAAACTACCTAAGCTGACGTATCTAAGCTTTTACTACAAGTTTTTCTTCATCATATTGCTCACATTTTTATTATTGCAAATGAGTCGTTATTGATTTTTCTTCATTTGGTAACTTAGATAACAGTAGAATGAGCTCCACTTATAACAACGCATATTGCATAACTAATCTCATCAGCAAAAACTTACAAGAATAATTTTGGTTTCATCCAAGTCTCTCTGAATCTTCAGTAACTTGTCAGCCTCTGCAGGGTCCTGCAATCAAGAATATACTAAAACTGTAAAACTGCTTAATCAAATGGTAATAACAAAGAAACATGAAGCACTGAGAGTCTGAGATGGTAAATATCACACAAGTTTCAACAGTCCAGAGTGGTCAGGGGTGCACAAAAATATCTATATCCGAGAAAATATTCCTATCCGTTAGGATGCGGATGTGGTTGCTAAAATCTTTAACCGATAGGATATGGTAACAGATATGATTATGTAGTGAAATATCTACATTTGTATCCGAAATATCCAAATATATGTTGGTCATATAGTTGCAACAGTTTTAATCCTTAGATTAATGGATTTGAGGCTGATTTTGATTATCAAGAAATCTAATCCTAGTTCATATCATATGAACTATTGCTTTCAAGATATCTAGTTTCCTCATATCCGTTTTGTATCCTCACGTATATCCGCTTACATCTCCGCATGCATATTTGTATCCGTATCCGATTTTAGTGGATACAGTTATGAATTTTCTTTACCAAGGCATATATGTATCTCGTCCGAGATTGGTAAGCGGATACGAATATGGTAACTATCATATCCAAGTCATATATGATCCGTGCACCACAAAAAGTGCACCAGGAAATGTGCACATATAGGACATGGTTGAACTTCAAAAAAAAATTTACCAGCAAGAGAGGGAATAATTAATCGATATGGTTTTTAGAAAAAGAACATGTTAGAGCTCCAACAAAAAACAGACTCTGGACAATGCAAAACCAAAAACACCAAAGCAACGTAAACAAGTGGGATAAAACTGATTAGTACATTTCCACATACAGACTTAAGAGAACAATGAAAAACCAAGCATTTTGATAGGACTTCAAAATTAAAATAATTTGTACAAGTATCTTGGTGCATGCAATGCGTGCATGACACAAAACGAGGAAGAGTGTTGTAGTTGAATTGTTAAGTGAAACGTGGAAGATTGTATCGTAGTTGAACTGTCAAGGGAATGAATGGTATGTTAGATTTTTTGGATTTTTAAAAGTGGGCATTTCTTTAGTTTTTTCTAAGTGTAATGATATTTTTAACATTCTAAATTGCGGTTCACACAAAAGAAAGGCTTTTCCTTATATGTAGTAATAGAAATATGTTACTGAGAGATCTTCTTAAAGCTCCCTAGTCCTCTAAGGGAACACAGAGGTCAAAAACCGACTAACACCTAAATCTTAATAATGGAAGGATGCTCACCACTAGAAACTTATTCATTTAAGGACATAGATCACACAAACCTGATATTTTGTTAGGGCATTCTCCAAATATGGCCACGGCTCGCTTACATCAGCCTGCACCGATCGCCATGCTTCCCCAAATGCTTTCTGGTATTCATCTAGAACCTTCAAAAAAAATTTCATAATTTTCATACCCAGAGGAAAAAAGAAATGAAACAACGGCAAGCAGGTTTGCTTTTTTAACATATAATTATGTGCCACAGGAGAGTATTTACCACCCATGTTTGATATATTAGTAACATAAATGTCACAATTAATGCAGCATAAGGAACGTATCTTCACTGAAATTAATTTTCAACCACTAATGTTACTGAGGACAAAAAATGCATTACCATGTTGAGAAGAGAAAAGGCACTCCGAACAGGATAATGATCATCCATAAATCCCAGTGCACAGAGCCCATTTCTGTTGTAAGCATGAACCTTGTATTCTACAAGCAAAACCAAAAAATGAAGTTTACAATTGATATTCTAACAAGATTGTCAATGCTTACTTCCTATGTACAGATAAACTTTTGTTTTTACAAAAAGAATGAAAATACAAAACAAACTTCCAGGCAACCATATTATATGCCATACTTGCGAACATATAAATGAATGAACAAATAACTCTCTTCTGTGATCAACATAACCAAACCAAAGCAGAAATCACAGAGAACATAGATTGACAATGAAGATACAGGGATCCAAATGAATATGTTAAGACACTGGTCTCCACAAATAAGCACACACGCACACACTAACCCATTCACTTTTTTGCATGAATATATGTATGGTTACATGCCAGTTCACAATCATACAAGTGAAATACATGGATGTATGGATATATGCCGCAGCCACATGAATATATGCATGGATATATGCAGTCCACAATCATATAAGTGCAAGATAATTTGCATACATTGAAAGGACAAAATCATACCCTCCCATGCCTGATCAATAGATATGATTAATTGACATATTTTCAATCGTATAATTTTCAGAAATAATTATTTTACAAGAAATTCCTAGGCGGGCATTTCACAACGAATTTCTAATGATACAAGAAGATAATGCTAGAGAGCTACTCTCTATGTATAACAATCATCCTGATACATGCTAGAAGTCACAAGTGTACACACACGTGTGTGCATATGTACAAGTATGAATCCGTAATTGGTCGACATATTTTCAAAAAAAATTGCTCTACTGTTACCATATGATGCAAATATATCAAGGATATCTGAAGATGCACATGCATAGCAATTCACATACAAAAGCTTTTGGTAATCACATGCATATAATAAATATAGACGAATATATACTACTAGTTTTCACATTTTTAAATTTCAATCCTAAAACCATGCTTGCCTAACAAAACATGTAACCAGCACAATTCTGCACTTGCAAACTAGAGCTATGAATACCGTCGAATCATGCATCGATTAAAGAAGGAGATATGCTTCTGAATTCAGCTGTATAGGAAAGTTTGCAAATTTCAGAGCCTGCACATATTTTCAAGAAGCAGAATTCTACTGTCACTCTCAAACCAGAAGGCCTTGAAGTTATCAATTACACGTTCGAAACCCTCCAATTTCCCCCAATCTCTTGGACAATTATAACCATCCGTCCAAAATTCACAATCCAGATTGCGATTCAAAAGATCAACCAATCAACTTATCCCTATGAAAAAATTCAAAATAACGATCCACATGGAAACAAAACAAAACAAAAAAAAACATCCACAAATTCCACCAACACACGGATTCATTCAAATAACCCAAACAAAAATTAACCAAAAAAAATAAATCAGGATTTCTCACCTTCATGCTGAACGGATTGACGCTGGCCAGGCTGCGTTCGCTTGGCGACGGTGCGAGCAGCGAAGAGGATGAACTCCCTGGCGGAGTTCCGCTGAAAGAACCCGAAGTGGCGGACGTCGGTGGCGCCGGCGAGGATGAACTCCCTGGCGGAGTTCCGCTGAAAGAACCCGAAGTGGCGGACGTCGGTGGCGCCGGCGACCACGACCGGATCCGACGAGTCCGAGTCCGGGCATCGAAGAATGAGGATCGATGTTATCTTCATCGATTTCTAGAGACCGGAGCGAAATTTCGAAACCCTAGAAAATCGGATGGAATGGGTGCGCTCTGCTCCCTTCTCCTCGAAGGAAACGAAGGTTAGAATAGGAATCGGGAAAAGAGAGGAATTGGATGCCGAATTGCCGATCTGTAACTTTGGGCATTTTGCAAAACATAATTCCAATGACCAATTTTGATATTTGCAAAAAAAGCCACCGCCGAAAGCGTCGACCCGATCTGTATAGAACAATTTTTCAAAACCGGCTGATTTTTTTTTTTTCAAAATGGACTTTTTTTTTATTTATCAAAATCGACCTGGTTTTGTGATTAGCAAGCTAATCACTATCCTAAATAGTCAGGGTTGCCCGATTTTTATAAATAAATAAAAACGGTCGATTTTGAAAAGAAAAAAATTCGGTCGGTTTTGAAAAATTGTTCGATCTGTATATCCTCAGCTTACCCTTTCTCCTTTATTATTATAGGGAAAATAACGTTACTTATGGAACTTGGAAATTAGTAAATAAAAAACTGTAATCACGACTATATTTATAACGGACAAATTTTCAAAATCAACCTGTTTTGAATCTTAATCTTAAAAAAAAATCCGTTTCAAACTTAATTTTAAAAACCGATCCAGTTGGTTGAAACTAAATCGGTTTTTGGAAAAAAAAAATTTCAAACTTCACGGGAGTTGAAATTCCTTGAAGTTTGAAACAAAACGATTTTTGAGATCTTTTGACAAAGAAGTCAATTTTGAAAATTTGTCCTATTTATAACCCTTCAATAAATTCTTATATAAAGATTTACCCGCATAATTAAAATTTACCCAAAAATAATTCAAGTGGCTACCGCAACCATAGAAAATCTAAATAATAACAATACAAAGAAATTTAAATAAGCAAAATTACTCTGCTCAAAATGTATAGATTACAACGTACACCAATATTAGTAATCACTTAAAAAAGTAGATATCTAATTTATTAAAAAAAAGAAGAAGAATAACCAAACGAAGAGCTAAAATTTCATTCCCATAATATTCCACTGATACAATATATTTCACATCTAGCCATCATAAAACAAGACACAAAACAGCGAAGATCCCCTTCTTAAGCCCTCTCGCCTCTGATCCTCCTCGCGAGCTGGATGTCCTTGGGCATGATGGTGACCCTCTTCGCGTGGATCGCGCACAGGTTCGTGTCCTCGAAGAGCCCGACGAGGTACGCCTCGGCGGCCTCCTGGAGGGCGGCGACGGCGGAGCTCTGGAACCTGAGGTCGGTCTTGAAGTCCTGCGCGATCTCGCGGACCAGGCGCTGGAAGGGGAGCTTCCGGATCAGGAGCTCGGTGCTCTTCTGGTACTTCCGGATCTCCCGGAGGGCGACGGTCCCCNTCACTCTGAGGGGTGGCTTCGAGATGGATCTGCTTCGTCCGCGTTGGAGCTGGGCTGGTTTGGGCTCGCTGTTTGGGCTGGAAAATGCAGTTTGAGGCGTTTGGGAATTATGGTTTTAGACGTGGTGTTATTGGGCAGCGTAATGGTTGTTGGAACTCTGCTACATAGAACTATATAGGCAAAATGATCAAATTGGAATATTTTGTACACACTATGCGACATAATGATAGGCGACAGAATGATATAGTTTTTTTTCTTTTGACAAATTGGTATATTATATAGACTCTGGCGTCATATACCCCTTAAGTTTGGCCGGATTCATTTTTCCGACCAATTTTCTCAAGTGACTCCAACGTGGCCACGACGTGGACTCCAGCGTGACAGATTTATTTCACAAAACCCTCTCGCTCTCTCCTCAAACCTCCAAGAATTCCCCTCCCTCTTCACCAGCCTCAACACTCTCCTCGTCTCCTCCCCAAACCCTAGCAAATCCTACGTCAAAAATCCCAAGCCCCCCTCATTCTCCTCCCTCTCCCTCTCCCTCTCCCCTCGACGAAACCCTAACCCTAGCAGATCCGTCCTGAAATCCTTCTCCCTCCTCGACCGATCCCTCATAGGCGGTATCGTCGGCGCCTTCACCTACGTTTGTCTCCTCCCCATCGACACCATCAAAACCAAGCTCCAAACCAAGGGCGCCGCCAAGATCTACTCCTCCGCCCTCGACGCCGCCGTCAAGAACTTCAGATCCGATGGGATTCTAGGGTTTTACCACGGCGTGTCGGCGGTGCTAGTTGGGTCTTCGACGAGCTTGGTGATTTACTTCGGGACTTATGAGTTTGAGAAGGCGATGTTGGGGAAGCAATCGGCCTACCCTCCGATTTTGATTCCACCGACTGCGGGGGCGTGGGGAATGTCGTGTCGTCGGCGATTATGGTGCCAAAGGAGTTCTTGGGAGGTAGTGGTGGATGCAATTGTTGATTACGCAAAGGATGCAGGCTGGGGCTGCTGGGCATTCTTGGAAAGTAATGGTGGATGCATTTGTTTATCTCGTGATTGAATTCGATTTAGTTTTATTTTATTTTTTTAGTGATATAATATGTAGAGTTGCGCTATGGAGGAAATACAGTGAAGGGGTTGGTGAGATATGTTCTTGGAAAGTAATGGAGGAGGAGGAGGAGGAGAAGGGAGAGGGGGAGGAGGAGGAGGAGAGGTTTTAGGAGCAGGATTGAATTCTTGATGAGGGGGTTTTGTGAAATTTGTGAGGGGTTTTCTGCAGATGAGGGTTTTTGTGAAATAAATCCCGTCACGCCGGATGCCACGTTGGCACCACATGTAAAAAATTGGTCGGAAAAATAGATCCGGCCAAACTTAAGGGGTATATGGCGCTAGAGTCTATATAATATACCAATTTGTCAAAAAAAAAAATATACCATTCAGTCACCTAGTGTATAAAAAATACACCAATTTGACCATTTTGAAGAACTTTATATAAGCTCAGTCCACAATCACTATGAAGTGCAGCGTGGAGAGAAGTATAGCTTGACAAGCTTGTGCTTGCTAGAGGGAGGCTACGAGGCATTTCGTTGCGTCGCAAAATAAGCTATCAGCAGTCAACGGAACTCATTCTTTTAGGAACATATCGGACTTGTACTTACCATTTTCTTCAAATAAGACGACGTCTCATTCCAAATATCCCTTCTATTGCATATAAATGTGTAGAAAAAACCATGCAAATATAATCTCTAAGGGGGGTTAGTCATCTAGAACTTAAAACTGGAACTGAGATAATTTGTGGGATAAATTTTTAAGGTGTTAGTCACATAGAACTAGGAAATGAGATATTTTTTTATAGTGTTAGTCAAGTAGAACTTTTGTAGAACTAGAACTGTATTATTTTTTTGGTGCGTTAGTCAAGTAGAATTCTACTAGAATTAGAATTGGGATAATTGGTCATAATTATCCCACAAATTATACTACCTATATATATAACCATAAGTTCTCCTCTCTCAAATTATCCCACACATTGAAAAGAATACAATTGGGAAAAAAAAGTGAAACGCCGCCTCCCTCCCTCTTGGTTAGTTTCTCCGCCTAGAAAATTTCTCTGCCATGAAGTCAATCATCCGTTCATTTTTCTGTCTTTACTTTATTTTTGTGATGATTAGATCTTTTATTATTATCTTCAAGATGTATTACTTTATTGATAGCTTTTTGACGTTAAATTATTTTATTATTATTTGTTTGATCTAAGTTTTCTCTCTACAACAGTGGTTTAGGTTAAGAATATAGTGTTGGTGGGTTAGTGCTAAAGATATGCGGGCTATTTATGTTTTTTCTATAAGTTAGAAAGCAACTTTGCGATCACATTGATGATTAGATGTTGAATGGTTAATGGTGATATCTATTATTATTAAATCGCCTCAGTAAATTGATTGGGATATTTATAGTTCATCTGTTGATCATTTGTTTAGCGGCCATGGATGATTCCTGTGTACATTTCATTTATTTGCTGATTTGGTTTCAGCGTTCATGATGAGATTGGTCCAAAGGGTTAATGGCTGAAAAATGCTTATTTTTCTTTCTTATGATGTTATGAGATTTGAACTTCGACATTTATGATCCTCTACTAGAAACTCCACGAAATGTTGTTGGTGTAGACGATGACTCCGATAAAGAAGACGAGTTACAGACTCAACGAGCAGTTATAGGAGTTTGGAGAAATTCTATGGCAGATGTCATGTGGGATGATAGAAGCCATGTGGGATGATGGAAGTCGAATCACTCTAGGGATTTAAATTTTTATTTATTTGTAAATTATTTTATTATTTGAGATGAATAATGATGTTTTATTGCATTATATTTTATAGTTATCACTAGAATTTGCTTATCAATATTATATTATTTTTAATATACAATTATTAACAATAGTAATTTATACCCACCATTACCCCCACCAAATTATCCTACCAAATTATGCAACTTTATAATATTATCCATCATTATCCCACCAAATTATCCTACCAAATTATCCCACTTTAAGAATTACCCATCATTGTTCTACTAAATTATCCCAGTGTCAAAAAATTATTCTACTTTACCAATTATCCCAGTTCTACTTAAAAAGTTCTAAGTGACTAACCCCCCCTAAAGAGAAAATAAGGAGGATAAAATCTCAGGAGAAGGGAGAAGAACCCATGTGACGATCCTTTGCTCTGCAAGCTTGATCCACTAGTGCTCTCCATATTCCTATAACTTCAATTCATGTTTTCAAAGTAAGATGAAAACGCTCTAATCTATTCTCCGGAGAACTCGTCGAAAGCTCAACGTTGTTATAATGCTTCTAATACTTCGTATGATCTTACACTATTATGGACTTGGGGATTCGTAGGATTGCCTGCTCTCCAGAGACCCACGCCCAAGCGAATCCACAGTAAATATTACAACATTCCATTTACCGATCAAACATGGTAACGTAAACAAATAACCGCTTATTTTAATTTTTGGCAACACCCGAACTGAATTCATCACAAAAAGCCAAAATCAATACTCCGCAACACAAAATACGTGAAAAACTTCACGCCCACGAGCTGGAATGAAATCAGAACTGGCAGATAATAGTGTTATTATATATCAACAAGAATTTGATTCAAGAATACAAACATCACAACTGCTCATAGCGAAGGAAAAGAAACAAGCTCTCTACTAAAACACTACCAAACTTGACAAGCCTAATTGAAACAAAGGATTTGAAGGCAAAATACCAGCCCTCAAATCCCTTTTAGAGTCTACGCATACCAAAGGATCATAGAGTACAAATACAACTCAAACAAACTCCACAACAATCTCAATTAAACAAGCTCAAAAACCACCTCAAGACAGCTAGATACGACTCGTCGCCATGATTGAAAAACTTAGAAGCACTTGCGGTGAACGATTGAAGGACCAGATTCATCGTACTCTGCCTTGGATATCCACATCTGCGTTCAAAAAATTTAGAAGTAGGTCGGTCAGTTAGCACTTAAACACAATACTGGGTTGCTATCGGGTTGAGAAATTTATATTCATGTATGCATGAAACAATGAAACGGCATGCAAACTGTCGCCAACTCTTTGTATGCAGTTCTTTTTCACCAACCAAACCTTCGGATTTGGGTTGGGAGAGTTTTTAGCAAACTTATCAAGAAAGCAAAAACAGGAAAAACATAGTCATAGGTATATAGCCTGAGAATAGAAGCACCTAGTGAAATTATAAGGATCATTCACAAACACCAATAACAAACAAGATTAGTTATGAGTTATGACCAACTTGCACCATCATTCAAAGGAACTTCCAAATATTTGTGAATAACTACAAATATCACATGCCATCTGTAAATTCTTAAGCTATCATAGACTAAATAATAACTGAAAAAGATTATTAGAGGTGAAACCAAGCAGCTTGTGTAGTAATATATATATATGGAATAATGCGAGAATCAGTGGCTACAAGAAAATCCTTTTAGTAAGGTGATCCACAATGTGATTATTGTTCCTATTAAAGTTATGAGTACTGCAGTTATTAGTATAATCGGACAGTTAGAGATATCTGTTTCAGATTAGAAAACTATACAAGTGAATGCTATTTGCTTTATGCTTGCTCTGGTATAAATAAAACATGAGTACCCCTATCTGGGATGTCAAGTTAGATTTCCACCGTGAAAGTTACTCCTAGACATGGAAAAAAATCATGAACGTATCTGGAAGGAAATAAATGGTCATTAAACATTACCTGCTGGAAGGTGCTGAGGGAAGCAAGGATGGAGCCTCCAATCCAGACACTGTACTTCCTCTCAGGAGGTGCAACAACCTTGATCTTCATGCTGCTAGGTGCAAGCGCTGTGATTTCCTTGCTCATACGGTCAGCAATACCAGGGAACATGGTCGACCCTCCACTGAGCACAATGTTACCATACAAGTCCTTCCTGATATCCACATCACACTTCATGATGGAGTTATAGGTTGTCTCGTGAATACCCGCAGCTTCCATACCAATGAATGATGGCTGGAAGAGGACCTCAGGGCACCTGAACCTCTCAGCTCCAATCGTGATCACCTGACCATCAGGAAGCTCGTAGTTCTTCTCCACAGAGGAACTGCTCTTGGCAGTCTCAAGTTCCTGCTCATAATCTAGAGCAACATAAGCGAGCTTCTCCTTGATGTCTCTTACAATTTCCCGCTCTGCTGTGGTAGTGAACATGTAACCTCTCTCAGTGAGGATCTTCATCAAGGAATCAGTGAGATCACGACCAGCGAGATCCAGACGAAGGATGGCATGAGGAAGGGCGTATCCTTCGTAGATTGGGACAGTGTGGCTGACACCATCACCAGAGTCCAGCACAATACCTGTGGAAAAAAATAAACCCAATTTGTTAAAGATGAAGGATGTCGATGTTAGTTTAATAATGAAATATAGTATGATATGTACCTGTGGTACGACCACTAGCGTAAAGAGAGAGGACGGCCTGGATGGCAACATACATGGCGGGAACATTGAAGGTTTCAAACATTATCTGAGTCATTTTCTCTCTGTTGGCCTTGGGGTTGAGTGGAGCCTCAGTGAGAAGAACAGGGTGCTCCTCGGGGGCAACACGGAGCTCATTGTAGAAGGTGTGATGCCAGATCTTTTCCATATCATCCCAGTTGCTGACAATACCGTGCTCAATTGGATACTTTAAGGTGAGGATACCTCTCTTGGACTGGGCTTCATCGCCCACATAAGCATCCTTCTGCCCCATCCCAACCATGACTCCGGTATGGCGAGGTCTGCCTACAATGCTAGGGAATACTGCTCTAGGTGCATCATCGCCAGCAAATCCAGCCTGCAAGAAATTACAGAAAGATGAGTGTAATTGATATAAGAGAGGTAATAATGTAGACTACAAGTATAATAGGATAACAAAAGAAGTTTCCCAACCTTAACCATTCCGGTACCATTGTCACAGACAAGGGGCTGGATATCCTCAGTGTCTGCCATTTCCTAAGAAGCTGTAAATAAACAAGAAAGCCAGTTAGATTTTCATTCCAGCAATAACAACTGGAAGACCTTAAATAATGTATACTTCTTTCGACTTTGAAATTAATAGACTTTCACTTTTAGTGATGGTTATAGATGATAAGAAAAATACATAATTTTTCCTCCATGTGAAACTGAAAGATGCGCATTCAAAAACAGCACTTATTTAGCACTTTGGAAGAAATCCTTCGAAAGCATGAACAAGCCAACTGAACCAATCATCTAGATGGCGGTGACCATAACATGTAATGGCTAACCCACTCAAGAAACAGACTAATGAATCCACATCACTTTGCATTCTGATGATATAAAATCCAAATTTCCATTCAGCCGTTCTACGAAATCAGAGAACAATAATTGCCTAATATTCTTCCTAGAAAGAGAGTGAAAAAGATTCCAAGCTAGTTTTTATTCGGACATGTTTGGGCTAGAAAAATCCTTCAATAGTATCATGAATTTCATTAATGCAATATATGTTATTTTTATCAGACTCACCAATAAAATTTTACCAAAAACAAATGATTATTCTTACAAACCAATAACGTCCACTAGCATATTGAAAATACCAATCTTGTACAACTACCACCGCATATATCACAGAACATGAAACTCATCAGACTCTGAATAAAGTTCAACAGTTGCAGAAAAATTCAATTGGGGTGCAGTGAACAAATCACACTTGATTATTACGTATACTGCGTTCTCATGAAATAATTATGACAATAAAATAATTCATCGAGTAAATGAAATGTGGACGCTGAGCATTTAAGAGTTTGCTTGGCCAAATGAATGAGTAGATGAATATTCACAAAAATCAATTAGTCTTCACTCAAAGAAACTGCTTATTTACTAGCCCCGAAACTTTGTTGGAGTTTCCACCTTTTGAGGAGTCATTCAAACCAACCAAGAGTTAAAAATATTCCTTGCATGGATATCGCAATAGGTAGCTAAATGCAGAAAAGAAAAAAAAACTACTTACTGCTGACCACCATCCGTCGCATTTATTAGTGTAACCAAAATTTTGATATGATCTCCATTAGCCCTTGTGCAAGTGGCTTCTAAATTATGTTCTTAAACATCTAAGTTTCCTACATTGTGTTAGAATTGTCATTGACAACCGAAGCTTGTGGTAATGTCTCATCTTAAGGTGATATAAAAGCAACATTTTATACTACGAACCAGGGAAAATAAAAGAACGAGTGCTTCCAAAATTAAAGCCTCTCATAAGAAAGGGAATATTTCTTAATTTCAGACTGTATTATATAATCGCCATATTACCCAAGCATCCATGGTAAATAGCTAGTTCATCTAAGGTCCACATAAGTATTCAGAGCTCTTTTTATGTATGTTAGATAGTTTGCCACAAACCGATCCTGTAAAGAACTGTTCAAAATGTAAGAATGCACTTCCAGAATTAGGTGAAAACTAACTCATTTAAGTCACTGGAGTCCAGTGATCAATTTTCATTGCAAGGGAACAAGAAGATCATTTCTCAAAACATCCATAATTAGGTGTAAAATTTGCATCTACATCACAACTAGTTACCCTTTTCTGTACAAAGAAAACTTCAAAAAGAAATTCTTTAGCTACTAATTTAAATAAAAAAACTTAGTTTATAGGTAATAATATGGCCGTGTGAGAAGTAGTAAAAAAAATAACACAACGGCAAAATCATCAAACTCGATAAGAATGCTTAATTTGCAATTTACGTTATTAAAAAGTCCAGTCTTATACTTCTTCTCATTTAAACTTCAACTTTCAACTACTGATGTTTCCAAAATGTGGTAAATGAAGTAACAAAATCATCCAGCAGCTAATCCAGGAACAAAAACCTACCTAATTTCAAAGAAAATACAAGTTTACATAACAAAGCGATCTCCATAAAAAATTTTCAAGAAGAAGTAGCTTATCAAGTCCTTCACTAATCACAAATCCAGATCTATAAATATAACATAAAACAGCTACAGATCACAAAAAAATCCTACAGATCTGACCTCCAAATCACAGAATCAGAACCATAACCAACTAAAACCCTAGATCTACATAGTCAGCACTCACAAAAAACTCAAACAAAGACTTAATCAACTCGATACGCATCAGATCTGCATCAAACAAGCGCAGATCAAACCGATCGAGCACTCGAACTAAGAAAATCAACAGATCTAAAGAAATCAGATCCAGATCGTGAATCTAACGAGCCTCGATCCGATCGATCGAGCGATTGAACTAAACAAATCATGAGATCTGAGGAACAAAGATCGAGATCAAGTATACCTTAACGAAGTGAGGAAGGAGCTTCGAGTCGAAGAAAACGAGAGCGATTTCTTGCGAGAATGAAGCAAAATGGCAGCGGATGAGGAAGAAGAGCAGAGGGGAGTTTTTATACAGGACAGTGTCCGTAAAACTTCACAAAACCCCTAAGGTGATTTGTATAAAAAGTCCCCGAAGTTTGAATATTAAAGAAAACGGCTCTATATTTTACGAGTTTTACAAAGCTATTCTAATTTTTTTATAAATTAATCCCGAAAATTCTAGGACAAATATTGTCCCTGGACTTTAGGTGAAAATTTTCGAAAGTTCAATAGTTTTAGATATTCAATTTTTTATGAAGCTCTCAGAATTTAATAGTTTTATGAAGCTCAATAGTTTCTTTTTTTTTGAAATTTCAATTTTTTATGTGGATTTTCTCTAATCTTTCGAAATAAACATAAAATAGAATCTACACTGATATATCTAAAACTAAATGGGGGCAATAAAAAATACAAGTAATGAAGGAGAGACGCACACACAAATAAATATATACAACAGTAGGTACGTTAGAGAATTAGAGAGTGTTAGGGCACGCTTATTTTTTAAAGTATTAGTTATTTTAGTTTTTGGTGGCTCTTGGCTTTTATGATAAAAATATTAGAAAAATTATTTGGATAACATGGTAATTTGTTTGGTCAAACCTAGCTTATTCTTGTAAGCTTGTTGATTTTTTAAAGAGGTATATTGGCTTTTTATAATATATGGCTTATAAGCTAATCTATTTGGTATTTTATCAGGTATGTGAAGATAAAAAGGCCAGTGTAAAAGCTAATTTGGCCAAAAAAATAAACCCCTTAAATACTCTCTTGGAGAAATGAGAACATCAATCTAAAAAGGAATAATTTTCTCTTAAAAATATCTTATACTGTCTCCATGTTCTTGATTGAATGCGCTCTATATTTCCAAATAAATGAAAATAACTTTCCTATAGTTTCTAAAAGTTAAGCAAATCCAAGTGTCCATTTGCCTGTGTCAGATCTCTAGCTAAAAATAGAGTTGACGCTAAAGTTCGGTTGGAAATATTCGAAAATTCAACCAAGTTTGTGAAATTGTCCGAAGTTTATTTGCAATTTTTTTTCCTAATTTCCGAATTTGATGGGGATTTGCGCAAATGGTGACAACTACGAGGGGACATCTGTGAAGTTCGTCAAGACAAGATTCTTTGGCAACAAGTTTCTTCCACTAGAATTTACGGCACCATTTGCGTCACCAACAAGGAAAATTAAGTAAAGCAATTAAAAATTTTGAGTGAAATGTTGTTGAATCTTGACCGTTCAAACGGAGAATGTCGGCCGTCCGATTGGACTTTCGGTGTTTCTTTTTTGGAAAGGATGTTGACACGTCATCAGGGTTGGCAGAAAGAACGTGCGGTGGGTGACAGCGGGGGGCGGGGCCCGCAACAACTATATCCGCCTGTGCTGTGCTGGCAGTGACCACTAATTTCCAGTGGCTCCGCTCAGCTGGCCAATTATATTCAAGAGAAAATTTGTAAATATTTAATTCTCAAATAACGGGGAAAAACAAATAGAAAATTCGTTGGCATTTTTATGAAGAGTGATAGATACGGGCTCAAGTTCATAGTTTAGAGTATCTTTGGTAATGAATGTGTTTTTTTTTATATTTTTATAAAAAAACATTATGTTATAGTGTTTCTTTTTTAAATGTGTTTTGAAAATATTATTTTTGTCAAACTAATTTGACCATTTATATTGCGGCAATGGGCGGACGGCAGCGGGACGA